GCCTTTCCTCTCGCCCCGTCTAATGTGCGCGGCGGCGGGAGGGGGGTTTAGCGTTTAATTAACGCGGATCAGAGGTGTCGCAACGGAGCAGACGAGACGTGTTTAATCCTGACAGGAAACTGTGTGTGTGTGTGTGTGTGTGTGTGTGTGTGTGTGTGTGTGTGTGTGTGTGTGGCTAATTAAAGGTGAAATGAATAGATTGGATATTGTCTTCACAGTATAAACATTTCCTTTCCGGTTTAACGGTGAGCGACGATGCTTTTGGGATCAGTTTAAAGATTCCTCAAGTCTCCGAATTCGCCTCTTTATAACCCGCCATGACGTCATCGCTCTCCCGCCGACCGGCTCGCCCTGTGCCTGCGGGCGACCGCTGGTTTTTACGGGACATCTAACGGGACGTCGGTTCTCCCCACAGAGCTCAATGAACAGAATGGCCATCCAAGCGCTGGAGAAGATGGAGACGAGGAAGTTCAGGGCCAAAGGAAAGGGGCAGCGCGAGAGCAGCTGCGGGGCCTCTGATTCGCTGAGCAGCAGCTCCACCTCCGACTGCGCCATCTGCCTGGAGAAGTACATCGACGGCGAGGTACCGAGAGACGCCTCCTTTTCTGATTCATCCGCTGCGGGGGACGATCACGTCCAACGTGGGCGAATCCCATGTCCCTCTTTTTTTCCCGTCGTATGTTGTGCGTTATGGTGCACACACACACACACACACACACACACACTCTCCCCTCTGCGCGTGTTTGTGTGCGTTTGTTTTCTTTCCACTCAGACATGAAACGCCGTCCTGTGGACAATAGAGTGGAAGTCCCCCTCGTGGGGACCTCAGTCCCGCCGTCTGCGGTGCCGTGGGTTTTTTTTTTTGGGAGCACCTGGGGAGTCGACGGTACCCAGAGTGCATCGGGGTCGGGATCGCGCTTCCTGTTTTTCCTGCGGCCTCCTTTAATCCTTTTTACAGGCGTCGTCGTGACGATGCGCGTCCTGATGTCGGGCTTTGAGGGTTTACTGTAAGAGCCTTGCTCATCCTCCCCGCGCTGACGCTGCAGGGACAAACCCCCCCCTCCCGCGGGCGCGCTGCTTTTATGTCTTTTCGGCGGGTAGGAGAGGAAAGCGCAGCAGAGCGGAGCGCGGCGCCGGGACGAGCGGCCCGCGGAGGAAGTGGCGACGTGAACGGCATCAAAGTGATTTTTTTTTTTTGAGCAACAGAAGCTCGGCTGGAAAAATAAATACAGAACAGAAGCCCGAAGTTGAGTCTCATTTTTAAGCCACAGACTGATTTCTATTCTCAGCCTCCGTCTGAATGCAAAGTGTCGCATTCTTTTCGTACAATCCACAAGTGTAAGCGCGCTGTTTGTTTGTTCTGACTATTATCTGACTGCCCGGGGGGGGGGTAAAAACGTGGTTAGAGATTCAACCACGTAGAGGAGGAGGGGGGGGGGAATTCTGTGCCGCTCTGCTGCCCCCTTGTGGACATTTGATTCACCATCCGAGGGGCTTTGTGGTCTTAAAACGTTTTGTAATTTCTTATTTATTTTTATTTCCATACACTTGAGTTGTTAGTGGTTTCATCGGCGACACACTTTGGCTTCAGTGAGTTTTTACTGTGTTGGAAGAAAAGAGCTGGAAACACAGTACAATCGTGGTTTAGTACATCATAAGAATGATAAAACGCATGAAATATAGAACTTGATGAGAATATCATTAAAGAAATCAGACTAAAGTAAACTAAAGTGTAGCTTTTTATAAAAGAATTCCACAGGTTTAACTGCGAATGATTAAATTAAATCTATGAGCAGTCTTCAAAGCGCCACCGAATGAAAGAACGTTTCATTCTGATAATCGAATCAGATACTTTGAGCATCTCGTTCTTTAAAGTCCAGGTAGAATCTGACCGTTGAGTATTTGCCCCCCCCCAGGAGCTGCGAGTTATCCCCTGCGCTCACAGATTTCACAAGAAGTGCGTGGACCCGTGGCTGCTGCAGCACCACACGTGCCCCCACTGCCGACACAACATCATCGGTGAGTCGCCGCGCCGACGGACAGAAAGGCGTAAAACGCCAAAGAGACGCTGTGATTCTAAACGTTTCCTCTTCTTCTCAGAGCAAAAGAAGGGAAACGCAGGACCGGCGTGCATGGACCCGGTCCACGGCCGGCAGCGGGTGGTGCTGCCGGTGCACTACCCGGGCAGGGTGCACCGGGCGGGCCAGGTGACGGCCTACCCGACCAGAACCAGCATGGATCCCCACGGCAACCCCATCACCATGCTCACCGTGGACCAGCACGCCGACCCGCAGGGCCTGTACCCGCCGCAGCCCGCGTCCGCCTTCCTGCGCGGCTACCACCCGGCCCTCCATCTTGAGCACGCGCTCAACCCCCACCACTGCGGCCTGGAGCACCGCGGCCCGCCCGCCTACCCGGCGCAGCCGCACCACGCCGCCTTCAAGCGGCCCAAGTTCCACGGGCGCAGCTTTTCCCGCGCGGCCTGCTTCTCGCAGTACGAGACGATGTACCAGCACTACTACTTCCAGGGGCTGACTTTCCCCCAGCAGCCCGAGGGGGGCCAAGGGCCCGCCGGCACCGGCGGCGGAGGAGGAGGAGGAGCGGGGGCCCACAAGGGCCACCACAGCCGGGCCTTTCAGCAGGGGCTGCTGTACAACACGGTGGTGCACATGGCCCCCGGCTCTTCTTCGCGGTTGGGCGACGCCGGCGGCCCCTCGGGCCTGGGCTGTTACCACGGCCACCGCTCGGTGTGCAGCGGCTACCTCGCCGACTGCCCCGGCAGCGACAGCAGCAGCAGCTCCTCGGGCCCCTGCCACTGCTCCTCCAGCGACTCCATGCTGGACTGCACCGAGGTCAGCAACCAGGGGGTGTACGGCAGCTGCTCCACCTTCCGCAGCTCGCTGAGCAGCGACTACGACCCCTACGTGTACCGGAGCAAGAGCCCGTGCCGGGGCTCCGTCGGGGAGGCGGGGGTCGCGGCTGCGGCGGCGGCGTGCAGCGCGCCACCCGCCGAGGACTCGTCCACGTCCCCGGCCCCCTCGGGACACGACGGCCTCCCGCCGCCTCCCGGGCCGGCGGGGTACAACTCGGGGGACCACGTCTCCCACTGCAGCAGTCGCTCGTCACTGGAGCCCAGGGAGCACGGCCACGCGGGCCCCGAGGCCCCCGGGCCCCCCGGGGCGGACAGGGGGAAGGGGGCGCTGGACGAGTCGGGGGAGCTCGGGGCGGCGGCCTGCAGCTGCTGCTTCGAGGTGCTCCCCCCCAGCGCGGAGTGCAAGGGGCGGGACTCGGACCAGGCGGGACGCTTTCACAGGGGGGTCGACTTTCAGAGCTCGGCCGCCAAGAACTACTTCGCCCCCTCGGAGCACATGTGCCCCCCCTCGGAGCAGCTGAGCTACGAGGGGCTGCCCTGCTGCTTCTACAAAGAGATGAAGGCGCACAGGGCGGCGGCGGCGGCGGGCCGCTACGCCGAGGACTACGCCGTCAGCGTGCAGTACGCCCCCGCCGACCCGGAGGCCCGCCCCGGGCAGGGCTGCTGCGAGCTCAACCAGAGGATACCCATAATTCCCGAGGACACGGATTGCGAGTCGGGCGGCGGGGGGGCGGAGACCCCAAGCGGTCCGGCGGAGGCCGGCGCGCGGCAGGGTTACTTCACCTCGGGACACTTGAGAGGTCGGCTTTACCCCCGGGAGGAGGAGGCCCGGGCTCTGTTCCACCCCCAGCTCTCCACGGCGACGGGCGAGGGGGGGCCGGGGGTTTGAGCGCAGCCTCGGCCATCAGCACGTGTCTGGTACCCAACCGGCCGGGCGCCGAGACCCTCGGCCGCCTTGTTTCCGACCGCGCTCGCCGGGCGCCGAATGTTTCTACTGGACGGCGGCGTGTGTCCGGTTGCTTCCCCTTGGCCCTCGGCGGTTGCGTTGCCGTGGCGCCCAGTGAAGAGGGATGGAGGTTGTTAACGAACAGTAGGTCGGGACGCCGTCTATTGAAGGACGGGCTGCCGCCGTCGGGGCTCCGCCCCCTTCGTCGCCGAGCAATCCGGCCTCGTTTCTTGTGAGATTTGTTGTTGTTGTTGTTGTTTTTTCCAGATTTGAATCAAGAAAAAAGGTCTTTGAGATGTTTTTTTTCTCCCCACTCTTACTTCACAAACATCTGCACATGAACACTGACGGCCTCCAGAGCTTCAGAGCTTCCAGAACCAGAACCAGATACCAAAACAGGAAGACGTGATTGTTTCTTTTATTTTACCTTTTATCAAAGCAGGGAAAAGGGTCCTCCGTGGTGTGAGCGGCCCACACGTCTCTCCGAGGAGGAGAAGCTACATTTTACAGTAAATGCATAGAAATGTGAATGACACTGGTCTCTATTCGCTGCAGTACAGAATTCGTTTTATGCATTGCAGTTCTGTGCGCTCGAGGCCGGAATGAGACGTGGAGCCTTTCGCTGGTTTGTAGCAATATCTACAAGACGCCGCGGCGCTTTCGGGTCACTCGATTCGTCTGGTTTGGAAGCCCTTTAAAGTTTGATTTTTGATTTTTTTTTTTTTTTTTTCGCTGTCATACACCCAGTTTCCTCATGAGTCATGTCTCATGAAAGTCGATTGAAAGGTTCAAGCATGTGTCAAAAGGCCAAAGGAAAGTAGCTGGAAAAGACTCGTATGTCATGAGGGTTTTTCTTATCGTACTGTGACTTTATTTTTTTTCTAATCGATGCAGTTCTACGTGCCGCAGTGCATCCGTTTGTCTCATATCGCGTAGTACATGGAGGCGATATCGATGCTTCATTCACGCCTTTCTGTTGTTTGTCCTGCAGACTGTTTTTATACTGTTTCTATGAAATACACACGTTCTCTACAGAGGAAATAACTATTTATAAGTTAACCCAGTGCTGTAATCAAGTGAGAATCTAATCTTGCCTTTTGCATAGAGATACGTACCTACTGCAAATATAACATTTTGGGGTACTTGAGTCACTATTTAATTTTTTTTATTGTTTCTAGCACTTAAGATTAAAATGTGTACAAAAATTAATATTTTTTAATTTTTTAAGAATATAATTATTTTCTGTCATTACCATTACAAATGTTTAAAAAAAAGCTAGAAATCATCCGTGTATATTTCTGTACCTGTATAGCAAACCCATTTCATGAATGGAAAATGTTCTCTGAATATTTATTTACTAATATATTTATCTTTAAGCCATGTCTTATGTTCAGAGTGTATGAACGTTTGAGTTGTTTGGTTGCTTTTCATTTTGAGAAAAATCACTAACATGAGACTTTGTAAATACATGGTAATTGCACACAAGACGATTAAATCTTCTCTGACCAAAAAACTGATTTTAAAACTTTAGTACCATACAGTTTTGTAATTAAAGTGTACAAAGATCTGTAAAATATACAGTTTTATTCAAGTCATGTTGTGGTCTCCTCTTTTCCATTTCCTGCCTCCACAAGAGCTTTTATAGTAGATGGACTCTACGAAAAATCCATCTGTTGAAATGCTGTCGTCAAGAGCAACCGCTCCACCACGGACGTGGAACCGACCTCCTGGCACCAAATCATCAAACAAGCTTAAATAAATGTACATTTACCACGTGGAGTAATCAACTTGTCAATCGACCAAAAAGATGTTGCTCATTCGCATCTTTTCATTGTGTAGTAATTTATAAATTGAATATGTGAAGACATCTGAGACTCTTGGTGGGATTTTCTGACTAGATTCATGTTTAACCATTAAACATAAGAACCAATGTATTCACACGCTGCTCAACAACTAATGTAGTCTGATTCTTTATTATGACTGACATCAGAATTATTCATCTTTATTCTTAAAAGTAAATCCCAATAGTTTTATCAACCAAAGAAATATGCAACTCGACACTAGTCTAATCTGATGCTTCAAGTGAAAATAGGAAATGTCAGTTTCTAATAGTCCTTTTTCCACCAACATTTGTATTTTTATTCAATTCTGACATTTTGTATCACAATATATGATTTATTTTAATGTTACTTATCAACAGTGACTTATTGTTTCTTTATAAATACGTCGTGGAGCAGAGAGGCGCTTTGTGCTCAAACGTTCATATCAGATCTCTGCTCACAGCTTGAAACCAGAGTGAAGAGCCACAACTCCACCGGTCAGGTTGTAATACTTTACGCAGAAGAAACCTGCGTCTTCAATCATGAATTTGAACTCCTCCTGTTGAAGAGCAGAAGGGAATAACCGTTACATCACTGCAGAGGTAAATATTGCTGATGTAACCGGTTGGATGGTTTAAAAAAAAAAAAAGGTATTTCAATTAACTTAAGGATATTCAGATCAGAAGGAACAACATTTAAAAAAATAAGGGTCGCAAAGTTAGAAATGGGGACGCTGCAATGAAAGAAATGTCACCTGGTCGGGGAACTTGCGGATACTTTCCACCAGATACTGGTACGACTTCCAGTCGGCAGCGATCACCTCGCCCAGAGCCGGGATCACGTTGAAACTGTACGCGTCATAAAGCCTGAAACAGGAAGCCAAAGGCCGATTACTCAGAGCTGAAACCTGCCGTCTGATGTAAAGAACGCTTGGTTTAAAGAGCAGAACCAGTGGGTTTGTGATCGCTGTCAATCACAGCACTACGCTTATTTTAAAATCATCACATCTGTAAACAGTAATTAAGATGTTAAACCATGAAACACAGCGGTTGATGGTCCTCACGAAGGAGACCGTTGTCCCTCCATGTCCCCACTATGCAGCCAGGTCATAACAGACAAAGTGCTTTCAGCGGAAAACCAGAAGAGGGCGCCGTTTGTCCAAAAAACAAAGCTTTTGACGGGACAGGAAATGCATCCAGACAAAAACATTCTTACAACATTTGTGCCGTGTAAAGTTAAGAATTTAGAGGACATGTCTAAAAATATTACATTGAAAATGGAACCGCAGCGCTCTTATTTTGTACTGTTTTAACAGTACGTGAGACCACAACAGGCCCCAGAAGCAAAGGTGGGATTTGTGATGAGACCCTCTGGAGCTTCTCACCTCACACGAGTCATCAGTCACTGCCGCTCACCTCGCTAAAACAGGATTTGTCACTTTGCTGAACTCCAAGCACATGAATCTGCCCCCCGGCTTCAGGACCCGCAGAGCCTCCTTCAGCGCCTGAGAGAGAAAAGACCAATCAATATTTATATTGCACCTTAAATTTCAGCCGCACCTTCTTAAACGGGAGGATCTGCTTCGTTATCAACGTGGAAATCGGACAATTAGCAGCTCGGTGCGCGTCGCCCCGGTTACCTGATCGATGTGGGTGACGTTGCGAATGCCGAAGGCGACGGTGTAAATGTCGAACTGGTCGTCGTCGAAGGGAAGCTCCTCCGCGTCCCCCGCCACCCACGACAGGCCTGACACACACACACACACACAGGCGCTCGAGTCAAAAACACTTTGGGCTCTCTTTTGGAAAAGCCCCGTTCCCCCCTCGCCGAGGGACGCCACGTGGACCTGATGTCCCTCAGGTCCGGCGGTGAGACGCTCACCAGCCGTGACGCCTGCGCTGTCCGCCCGCCGCTTGCCCACTTTCAGCATCTCCTTGTTGATGTCACAGACCACGGCCCCGGACTCCCGGGGGCCCGCCTCCTCCCCGTCCTCCTCGGAGGAGTAGCTGCTGGAGATGTCCCGCCACGACGGCGTCTGCACGGCGCGCACCGCCCGCCGCCTCTGCCGCTCCCGCTGCGAGCGAACGTACTCCAGGAAACGGAAGGCGATGTCACCTGCGCGCCGTCACACACACAAAAAAAACGATTCGTTAAAAGCGACTTTTTGCGGTTTGGTGTTTTTGGCGAGGCGTGACCATCGACCTGTTCCGCCCGCCACGTCCAAGAGCTGCGCCCCGGGCTGAGGGTGCATGGCGTGCAGCAGCGCGTCCTTCCACAGCCGGTGAATTCCCAGACTCATGGCGTCGTTCATGGTGTCGTAGTGATGCGCCACGTTCTCAAACACCTTGTACACTGGAAGGGAGCACAGACAATGTTTAAGATTTGTTTTACTTTTAAAAAGTAGGTTTTGTGTAGTTCTAAAAATATATATATTGGCATATCTCACAAATAACACACGTTCCATACTTGTGTGTTTTGGTTCATATTAACCAAACGTCATTATGGTTTAGTAATATAACACAGTGGCCTCTAGGAACGTACAAGATGTAACTCATGGAAGGTGAATTGACTTTTAAATGTGGCTTAAAACAGCAACGACTTTCCTTTTGAGAAAAGCGGAGTGAATCACGTTCACGGCAGTTTAACGGAGTCACTTCATGGAGCAATTAATACGCCGAATTGTTCAGCAAAATGTCACAAACCCAAAACCATCGAGAGTCCCGCAGCCCTCGATGTAAAAACCGGGCGAGCAACAGCGGAACTTCTAAATTGGCACATTTATCGCCGGGGTGTCGTCCCGCTAAGCGAAGGACTCACCTTTCTTCGCCTTCTCGGCCTCTGGCACCGTTTCAAAGCCAAAATGTGTGCTTCGGTCTCCGGCGGCATCGCCGAAACACCGACAGGTCGACGGTGCCAAACGGCGACCGGAGCGACCTGCGGTCTCCGCCGCAGTGACGTTGGTGTTTCCGTGAGAGAGACGGATCGCTCTGCGGAGCAACAGCCTCACGGAGGCGGCCATGTTGGCTGATTACGAAACTACGCGACAGTGTGACGTCACTTACAGGCGACCGACTCCTCCCTTTGACCCTCATGTTGTCCATTTATTTTCATAATGATTTTGGATTTTTTCTTTCAATATTGCTATTTTTAAATTGTATTATTATTTATTTTTTGTGACACTATATTATCCCACTGGTTCCCTCCAGACACCATTTATTCTTTATTTATTTATTCTTTTTTTTTTTCTTTTCCAGGAACTACTACAGGTGCTAAATATACGTTTCTGCCTTATTTTATGTTATTTATTTTTTATTTTAGGAGATTTTTCCTCTTTGAATCATGATTTTCGTTTTAATTTAGTTTTAAAAAATATTTTCTTTTTCATTTTTGCTTGTGAAATATTATCCCACTGGGTTCCTCCAGATGTTAAACCCGCGCAGCACCTTTCTGAGTGCAGTTTGCATGTTCTTGGTACTTCAGCCTCCTTCCACAGTCCAAAGACATGCAGCATGGGTTAATTAATGACTTTAAAACAGCCTGTAGGTGCGTGAGAGTGAATGGTTGTCAGTCTCGATCCTCGCTGTACCTCGTCTCTTGCCCAATGTTAGCTGAAATTGACCCAAGTGGACCGGGACAATAAGGGATTTGAAACTCCAACAGCACAATTATTGTCTTCTGAGCTTCACTTTAGCATGACACAAACGCTACAACTAACCAGAACAAGTGAATATTTCCTTTTAGTTGTTTTGGTAATTGTATTAAATAATTTTACAACATCTTAATGTCTTTTAATAGCTATTCAGCATTAATCAACTGTATAGACTTGAATGCAGGGATACAAAAAATAAACAGCTCTCAGCGTTAGCACAAAGCTGCAGTAATGGGAGACAAATCTCAAGCATTAAACAGGCCAATGCATGTAGTCGAAAGCACTGAAGGGCATGAGTGTACCTTTATTGCACCGGGGTCACGGACTTGCAGAGCGAGACGGATCAAAACAGACAAGTTCCTGCAGAGCCAGTAAGCCTCTTTCACACAGTTCTACAATATACAAATCAATGAAGGGCCGCCTGTCTCCTAATCTACCCGACTTCAGTGCCCTGTGTGCAGAAAGTGGCAGATATTGTCTTCCATTCTTCTCACTTTCTCGTTCTGACAGTAACCAGACACGGCCGTGTATTGTCCCTCGGTCGCCGTAATTACTGGTGGACTCGGGTTCAAAGGGATCAGCTTCCCTCGCTCTTCTCCTTGGCCTCGGGAGGAAAATGGGCCGAGGCTTTTTCACATGTACCCAGAGGAGTGATGATGAGTCTCAGAGTCTAGCTGCCGGATTAAAGTTACAGCATCTCAATTGCTTTTGAGAAAAGGACAAACACATTTAAAGGTCAACAGGAAGGAACGTAGAAGGTCACAAAGATTAGATATCTTACTGGGGTTGAATGGAGAAAAGAACAGGTAATTCATTCAGATTTCTGGTAACATTTAAAGACAAAATGTGATAATCTGATTTCCATGGCCAGCAATAATGAATTCCACTCAGACTGGGCATCATTGTTGTCATCAAACTTCATGCCACCAGTAGAGGGGGCACAAGGATCCTGTAGAACTTTCTACTTCTAGTTCCCTGCAGTGGAATGTGTGTGTGTGTCCAAGAGCAAACCATCTCAAAGAGACCTGGGGGCCAATAAGCGGGTTTATGTTGGCAGCTTAAGTGCCCTCTTGCCCTCATGGTAGATGGAATATGATGGTAAAAGCATGATGGTGCTTTCATATCTTTCATATTACCTGTTGGGCAACTAAAGAAAATGACGGCTTGTGTTCACCCAAAGCTGGCAGGAGATCTGACAGCCAATGAGATGTTGTTGTTGGGTAGTTCAACTGTACGTACAATAAGCAGAGCGAGAGAGACACATCTGGCCGAAGAAATAGAAAGTATAAAGTTTAACAATTGAACTCATCGTGTGATCTAATTGAATGTTTAAGTCTTAATGGCATGTAGCATCGAGAGGATTATCAAAATATTAAAGAAGTCCCGCCTTCGTTTTTTGCTGTTAATTGCGGCTCAATCAGAAGCATCAGAGGTTCACAGGTGACCTGATGTTGGATCATTGGAAGCCTTACAGCCAAGACTCAGGGACAAGTTATTTTTTTTTCCATGCACTCCCAAACGAGCATATTTGCACTGAGGACCTTTTGCAGTTTTCATGCAATCAACAAATAACGAACACTTGATGTTTCAGCTGTGACGCCAAACTCCTGCTGTTTCCCCCCCCCGAAATGCGCGGGCTGCACGGCTGACCTCGTCCCGGAGGGGAACCAATGGGTTCCACGTGGCCCAGCTCGATCCCCTCTGCGTGTGTGTGCATCTCTAAACAGTCTGGGAGTCGTTTCACATATCTGATAAGTGTTTCGCTTCCGCAGTGGAAAAAAAAAGGAAAGAAAGAAAGGAAAATGGGTGTGTGGGGGATCAGATGTCCCACCGTGCAGCTTGATCCGGTTTGTAATACTGTTATTATTATGAAATACAAAGCGGCGGGAAAAGAACAGGCGCGACACTCGGTTAAGAAACATGCATACAGTGTTTATTTGCAACCAGGACACATTAAATAAACTACAAAGATACTTCACTTATACAAAAGATAGATTATATCCCATTCACATACAAAATAACAATAATTTACTGTATAAATTAAACATTTCACTGTTTTGCTATTTACACATGTTTTTGGCCCTTCTGGATCGTTTCCCGCGGGGGGGGCCTCTGGTGCTTTCACGTCCCCGAGCACTACGGGACATTCACATCGACGAAAAAGACCCTCGTCACCGCTCACCAGCAGGCGCGGATTTCCCTCGGATTCACCGGAGGACGGGACAGGAAACGGGAGTTTGCATAATTCCCCGAGCCATCCGCACAAATAGGGCCTCGTTAGGTTTGAACCGTCGGGTTTCGTTGGCTGGTGTCCAATTTCCCGTCGCTCTCGCGTCTCTTTTTCTCCTCCTCCCTCCGCCGGGCCGAGGGGCGCGTGTCTCCCAATTCTGTTTTTCCGATTCGCGGAGGACCACAAATGTTTGGACGTGAATGTCCCTCTGCGTCGTGTCGTGAAACGTGACCTTTTGTCTCAAGTGCTCAAGTGGGTTTCTTTTTTTTTTTTTTTTTTCTTTCTCCTGTGCAAAGAAGAATAAGAACTCTGGGAGTAGAAGCAAATTTAAGTGCAGTAACGTAATCTTCTTTCTCCCGTCCGTGATTTGAAGATTTCTGGGGTGACCGTCTGCAGAGGCGTCTCGCCCCGAGACAGGAAAGGACAATTACTATGCCAATGGCGGACTAGTGGATTTTGACCTTTCTCAAGTGGTTTAAATGTCACAAGAAATGCACCGAAAACCGACAGACAGACAGAGTGCTTTTGGTTATATTTCTGTTTGGGTAGATTGTTGGAACTCACCCTTTTTGGACTGAAATCGAGGTGCAGTTTTCTGCTGTCTAATAGGAGGGTGGAGGGTCGGGGGGGGGTGGGGCAGGGGGGGCATTACAGTTGAGGAAGTACAAATTCTTTGCAGAGACACAAAATGAAACAGGGAACATAAATGTCATTCCCACATTGAATTACGTAATATACAACACTATTCACACCCCCCCCCCCTCTGTAATCAAAAGACAACTTAATGTGAACAATATGTTCAGTAAACGTCCGAGGCTACACACATAGGAGCACACGCACACATCAGAAACAAGGAAAGCCTCATCGGTTACTACGTGAGTTCATCACAAACAAAAGAAGCATCATGTAGTGAAAAGTGTAAAAGATCCGGTCTGTTGAGTTGAGTGAACGGAGAGAAAAGACACAATATCCAATGCGTTCGATGGCTGTACAAGATGTGGCATCGTGTTGCTGAGCTCATCGTCGACGCGGCGGTTTTGAGGCGGGTTTTGCGGACCGACCGAACACACGTGACGCAGCCGAGAGGCGAGAGAGCTGAAGGCACGTGAACACCGTCAAACCGGAAAGTCTCCCACCCAGCAGCCGGCAGAAGAAGCCCTCAGATCTTCCCGAGCCTCCCCTAAATGGCAGTTTGTCTGCAAACCGCATCAGCCCAACCCCCCCCCCCCCTCTCTCAGTAAAAGCCGCCGCTTATCTCTCCGCCCGAAAGTCCACGTGAGCGCCGAGTGGGCGAGCGCGCTCCCTCCCTCCCTCCCTCTCTCTCTCTGTGATCTTTTCGTCTTACAGCGAGTGATTCTTCCCCAAAGTGCTGCGACGTCTCCTTCCGGTGTGAGGGTGCCGAGGCCTGCCCCCCCCCCCCCCCCCCCCACCGCCCCCACCCCCTCACAAAGCTGGTTGTCGAGTCGAACGAATCATAATGAAACATTACAACCTCTTTTTCATGTGGAGTCAAAAAGACAAATAAATAGATAACCGGACGGGAGGATTCTGGTCCGTGTGAGGCAGTTAGTTCATATGAAACCGTGGAGCTGCGTCTGTTCTTCCCTCTTCGGGATGCTTGGCGCCGTGTGACTCGCGCGCCGGGACGGACGAAGCTGAGCGGCTGATGCTGCGGTCCTGAAGGGCTCAAGTGGAGGAGCGCTGGTCGCCAGGGACCTCCGTGAGGGACGGAAATGAAGCCTGAAAACAGACAAGCGGCAGATCGTCCTCCGTCTCCTCCCGCACCGAGGTCCCCCGACTGCCCCCCCCCGCCCCTCCCTCCCTCCCCCCACAACCAGCAGTCACTCAAGTCGGTTGTCATCGTCCTGTTGGAGCGGCGCCTCCTGCGGTCTCGTCGCGCGAGGGCCCTCGTGCAGAGTAAGTCGTGGGGCGGCGCCGCTAGTTGCCCACCAGGGGGCTGAGGTCGCCGTGGTGGTTCTTCAGCTTCTTCTTGAAGAGGGAGATGGTGGGACGGTCGGTACAGGATGATCCAGGGCTCGGAGGACGCCGTGCTCTGGCTGCAGGTGTCTGACCCGCTGACCGTCGGGATGTTTGGAGACCTGATTGGGAGGTTTGGGGGGGGGGGGGGTGACATGAAAAGAGGATTTTAAGGGGTCCCCTCCAAACGCTCACCACGCCTCCAACATTTAAAGACACTCACTTTACTGTGATGTGCAACAACAGCTTCCCCACCATGGCGACCACCGTCAGGACGAGCAGAGCGGCCAGGGCGTAGATGGTCCACACTGCGGAGAGAGACAGGGCATCAGTTACGGCCCCACGCCGACGGAGGGGCGAGCAGCCAGTAAACTGTCAGGCACACATCTGCACACATCTGCACACATCTGCACACATCGGCCCTCTGAGGCGCCGAGGAGTCCTGTGAAAAAGCTTTGACAAGGAGCCTGATGGCGACTGAAGGTAGCGTCAGTCACGCGTCAAGCCGAAGTCCTTGAACGCGACATCGCAGGAAGTCCCCCCCCCACGGGGGGACGAAGTCTTCCAAGCGTCTCCTCAAACTAAGACAAACTAAGACTTCCAGGGAAAGCAGGCCATGCACCACGAGAAGCGGAGAGGGGTGCGGTGCATTGTGGGTGTTTACATACTGGCGCCGTGGCCGGTGGTCCCGCCGCGTCCAGCCCACTGACCTGGCATGTTGCGCTCCGGCTTCCCGGGGCTGGACGTGATCACGTAGAGGATCTGGGTGGAGCGTCCGTTGGAGGTGCTGTTGGACCTCTGGGTGACGCCGGCGGCCGGCCGGGGCCCCGCCGTGGCGGAGACGGCGTCCCGCGCGTCCTCGCCGCGTCGCTCGGCCTCCGTCGTCCTGGTGTCTTGGCCCCTCAGTGCTGGAGGGGGGGGGAGAAACACATGAAGGGGTCAGCGGGTCGGTACGTGGACTCTGCAGAGGAAGCGGGTGATTTTTTCGAGGTTTCCCACTGTGTCCAGAAACAACGCAGCTTTGTTTCTGTCATTTGTCTTTGTCGTACTTTGTATAATCTCCGATGGCTGTTTATGCGTCCGGGTAATTGTTCTGTAATCACTTTATTACAGTGAAAGGAAAAATAAAACAATGCAAAACTGTAAAGTTATTGCACTCAAATTGACCAAAACGTCTTTTTATTCATTTAATTAAACAGAAACTTAACATGAACTTAAATGTTTATTTATCTCTACGTAATTTGCATTTAATCATCCGTGGATGGTGGAGCATAAAACAAAAGAAGGGGGGTGATATAAATCATCTCGTGCATCTCATACGTCTCAGACAAGTAACTCGGTCCTTTGAATGGACTGCTAATCCACTTATGACCTATGACCTCTGAAGAAAGGGACTATTTCTGGGTGTTTTTTCCCTTGGAGGAGGCAACGGAGCGGCGTGCTGTGCCAGACACACACACACCCACACACACACACACGCACACAAACACACACACACGGGAGGAGACGCTCGGCTGTGTAATTTCTACAAGCTGCGGACGCGTATCACTTAACGGGCCTTTAATTGCCCCTGTGGGTCAACGAGGGAGCGGCAACGCGAGACGCGGTGCAGTTGAAAGAACACGGCGGGTAGTTGATATCGACTGCGTTTCGTTTCGTCAAGAAACGGATCGACTTAATGTGAACAAATGTGAACGTGTCGAGAGCTTTTCTGTCATTCACAAAGCGTCTTACAATAAATACTGTTTGTTCCAACCTGCTCACAGCACCAGATGTGGGAGAGAGACTATTTCTACTCTTTCATGTGTTCCCGGAGGGAAGCAATATCCTAAATAAGATGTCCTGTGCCTTTCATTTACTTCTCCTAAACACAGACGCCATTTATTTAAGATCACTGTGTGATTTCCAGAGTTTTATTCCTGTTCCAGAGAAACGGACCACACTTTGAGTCTTTCTCCTGACTTGTTCATTTGTATTCAGGTTTGGTGAAGAGAAACATTTCGGCAATCTACCATTAACCCTTAAATAAAGTAAAATAAGAGGCTTCTGATTTGACAACAAACCAACCTCACAAAGAATGGATGAGTTTAAATCTCTTGAAACAATGAAGATATTCCAAATGGGGCTGAAATAAACCGCCCTGGCTTTCATAATTAAATTAAAATGGATCCAGTGAGCTCACAAATAATAAAGAATAAAAAAATCAATTTACAATAAACAGCCAAAAACAAACAAATAAAAGGCCTTTTTGTAGCCATCGCTGGATTATGCATTAAGCTGGTGATATAAATGAATGATAACGTGTTTCTTTCGATGCAAAACAATATTTCCTCTCGCCTTAATTGTTCTCTCAGTTCCTCAGAAAAAAGTTTACTCAAGGCAGCTTTTTGGAAAATCTCTTTTGGACGAAGAAACTGAATCCTGAGCGGAACAGAGGAGGACCCCTTGTGGTGAGATGAGTTACTGCACTACAAACTGAATGGTTGAACCCACCCACCTTGGTTAAATCACCCAAAACTAATTGTAGATATCACTTGATCCAGGCCAGCTCCAGTCTTCCGTGAATGGTGGTTGGATGTAAGTGTAGGACCCCCCCCCCCCCCCCCACCCCTCTTTTACAAAACAATTCACCCTGACCGAGATGTTCCCAGAACTTCCCACATGTTCCCCATTTGCAAACAAAACACCATCAAAACCGCCTCAGCTGTGAGCATTTATTCTGGAATCAGTGCTTCGGCTCCACAGGGGAGGTACAAGATGTGTTTAGAAGATTTCTCTGCCCCCCCCCCCCAAAAAAAACAACTCCCATTACTTCAGTGGGTGACCTTTGTTGTCATTTCATGTGGGGGACTCCCTTTCTAGGACCAGAGAACCAAGTCGTGAGCAGAAAAGATGGTTCCCGTCCAGAGGTCAGGGGGGATTATGACCCCTGATATTGTTTTTTACTACAACGCCGGCGGTTAGAAAAACGACAGATTACAAATGGAGGCAGAGAGAGCGAGGATGTCACCTCCACTATCACGCTGAATCCATTGCATTTACATTTGGGTGCTTTCAGACTCTGATTCTGTCTGAGCGAAAGTACAGTAATATAAAGAAAGCTTGTCCTCTTCCACATTCGTCTGGAGAGAGAAACAAACAATATTTGCTGCGAGGTGTTCAACTCGCCGCTGCACAAATCGCGATTATAGAGCGCGATCCATCACCGTGTTTAGTGTGTAGGTGGCATGAAAACCCGTTGTGAGATTCCCCAAAGAGAATCTCAACGGCCTGCTCCGGATTGATAAGCCAGTGAGTCCCTCAAAAAAAAAGAAAAGGGCCCGCCGACGGCGTGACAAGTGCCTCGCCAACAGGCGTCAGTCCACCACACCGGGGCGCCCATGCAAAACTCCCTCATCATGCAAATGTTTCTGTGGGAAGGGTGCTGTGATCTTGGTGGCTTCTCCGTGACCCTCCTCGGATTACGACGGGCTTCTGGCAGAACCCCATGGGAGGGGCCTTGTTCGCACCATCAGAAGAAAAGGGTTCTCGAAGGGACGTCCAGATCCCAATGAAAAGGTTCTCTATGAAACCTCACAGGGGCGTTTTTTACGGATCGTTCTAGACTTTTCCTGTTATGTCTTCTGGGTAGAACATTCCGAAACGTTTTCATGTGGAACCTACAGGGAACCAGACCAAATGTGTACACTACATTTTGCTTCCTCAGCAGTGACGCCCTACCTTGGTAAAGCAGAGCAAATCCCTGCGCCTGGTTGGTCCGGTCCGAGTAGAAGTACACTATGACGGAGTCGCCCGTGACGTTCACCAGCTCCCCCGGCGGGCTGCGCCAGTCGAAGCGCGCCACCACCCGGTTGGTGTAGCCGTCCAGGAGCTCCACCATGTCCGTCTGGTCGGAGATCTCAAAGAAGGTGAAGTTGAAGAGGATGGCGCGGGACCCGGGCACGCGGACGGTCCAGTAGCAGACGCGGCCGGCGGCGTACTTGTCGGGGAAGTCGGGCGAGTAGATCACGCCGGACGGAGCCGAGTAGTTCCCGCCGCAGGCCCCGACCCGAGCTGGAGGAGGGAGCGCCAACGAAAGAGAGGAAAACAGTCAGCGGTGAGCAAGGACCTCGTTCCCGCGAAACACGGCTGATGGGAGGTGGACCAGCGAGGCCACGTTGAACGTCCAAGATGTGTGTCTTCACACAAACGGTGACTACCACATATCCTGATGTGGAAAGAGGTAAATCGCATTGCAACGGCAGCACGGCGTCACTCACTGTCGAAGATGATGACCCAGCCGTCGCCGCCGCAGGGCTGGGTGTGGTCGCCAAAGCAAACGTGGTTACACTCCATGCTCGGCGACTCGCCATGGTCCCGCTGGTCCACTTCGTTGCCACAGAAACAGGCGTACCCCGACTCCATGCCGGCGAGCTGCAGGAGAAGAAAAAAAAAAAAAAAAAAGGAGTTATGCAAATGAACGCATCAGCAATTCAAAACAAACTTTGGGTAACGCGTCCCATGATGCTAATGACGATAAATCCATCTGGCACATTGGACTGAGGGACAAACTTTGTGGAGGAAACTTTGGGACATTTGGGATATTCTCAGGCAACAACTTAGTAGAATAAAATACGTTTCGCAAATGCACAACTGCCTCAAATGTAAAGTACTTTTACGGGTTGTTTGTCTCATACCAGCCGAACGCGTGTCGGCGCTTGGTAAACAGCTCCGCCTCTCCCTTTCGAATTAAAGCGACTGGAGCCCGAGGTGCTCCGATTGCTCTTCCTCTTGTGATTACAAGATGCTGCAACCTGAGTGTGGAAAACCCACAACCTCTCAGCTGATTAGAAGCTTTCCTTCAGACACACAGGGTGTAGAAGATAAACCTCACAGAAATAGCACCTCTCCATCCCCGCAATGCAAACTGTCGGTGAAGCGTTCCTGGAAGCGGCAGAGCGGGAATGCCAAGCTTAAAAAAAAAAAAAAAAAAAAACCCTTCGCACATCTTGACCTCTCCACCGCTGGCTGCGTCTTCTCAAAAGAGCTTTTGTCCGTCTGTGAAAGAAGGACGCCATTGTCCCGCATTCAGGCCCCTAAAATGAATTCGCACTGCCGAAGGTACTGCATCACTTCCCACTCGCCTCGTCTTTTGTTCGTGGACGTGGAATGCACGGAGCCCCCCGCGTCAAGCCGCGCCCGTGTTGCCTGCTGACGGAGTAACACCAACGTGAACGAAGCGAGCTCATGGGCCCTCCGTCAGAGGGTCGCCAGGGAGGCGCACCGCCGACGTTGCGCACGCGCTTCGAGGGCCGCGGCGCCACATCCAGCAGCTACATCTGCTGAATATTGAGGGGGGGGGGGGCACATAGTTGAGCCGGATCTGCTGAGGCAGAAAGCTGCGGCTGTCGACTGTCAGGAAACCGCCAGTGAACGCAGATCATCTTCACAAAGGCCGCAGTCAGCTCGCGTCCGTTATAGACACGGTGAGGACAATTGACTGCTTCATTCTTTTAAACTTCCCAGCGGCGGGATGGAGGAGTCGATAGTTTGTGATGTTGCGAAGGATTTCTCCCGCAGCGGTTAGAGATGCGGCGCCGTAAACGTCGCGTCTCACCTTGTATCTCTGCTTCCGGCAGAAGCTGATGCAGTTCTGGATGGTGAGCTTGTTGGAGGTCTCGCTGGAGCCGGACAGGGTGGGCGGGTCTCCGCTGTCTTTGAAGCAGCCCAGGTTCCCGGGCACTGGAGGGGGTTAAAATGAGAAGGCCGGTTAGGCACAAACTACTCGGATGCAAATCGGCCTCCACGTGCTGGCCATCGGGCAAGTTGTTCGAGGTTTATGGCGATGTTTGTGCGAAATAGTTTGCCTCGTCGGTGGAGGACAAAAGTATTCAGGCCTCTCTCGGAATGTTTCGATGTTAATTTACCAGCAGCCAAGCCAACTATTTAGTCCTCGAAGAATAGAGGTGACGCCGAAGAAGAATCCAGAAAATGTTCCCTGTCAGAGTCGGAACAGAATGTTTGTTTAACTGTGTGTGCGTGTGAGGGTGTGTGTGTGTGTCTGTGTGTGTGTGCGTGTGAGGTGAGGGTTTGATGTGTCAATAAACGCAGAAAAAACAAATAGCACCTCCTTTAGAGCGCATTGAACAAAAGGAAACATCTGGAAGGAGGCCAAGTCCAGCACCTTGAGTCCTCATTAAAGGCGGGTGTCATTTTAACCCGTCACGAGCACACGGACGTCACACAATAGGCGATAATTATTCACGCTGCAAAGTTTGAGAAAAACTTCACCGAAGTTTTAATACCTGGTTGGTTATCGCTAACTATTGAACATGTTTGTCAGGTGAGAGCTGGAGACGCGTGACACAAACAGGCCGACGGCCGCACCCCAGAGATGGAAGAAGGCTGTCGACAGACATATTTGTCCTTTACGCCAGCGCAGTAATTCAAGGTAGAAGCCCGGAAGGTGCCGAACAAGCCTCCTGTGGCCCGCTTGGGATTTGTTTTTTTTTTCATTTCCACATTTTGAGGTAAAAAGGGGGGTTGACAAAGAGAAGTAAAGGCGAAATCTGTGAATCATTTTCACTGCAGTGCAAGAATTTGTGTCATCTGACCGTAAGGTACAAAAATGCTCATTAGGAAAAGACAGAACGGACGAGCGGGGGAAGAGACAGAGTCTGTGACGTTATAAAACAGCCGTGTTCTGTATTAAGCCTCTTTGATTCCCAAGTTAACTGAGGCTCAGACCAACTTTGATACAGTTATCACAATGACCGATCTCCCAGTTTTAAATACAATTTCCTTTTTCCTAAATTTCCGAGGTTGAAATCAAATCACGACGGAGACAGTCACATGTTTTATTTTGCACGAGAACAAAGCCCCAAAATGGGAAATATCTTTGGGCCGACCGAGGAGAGTTAAGTGCTATTTAGCGAAGAACTCCCCATATTTGATGACAAGTCTGATATTTCACAGGGACACGTCGCGTCTATCTGCTGGCAACAACGGCACAGCGCCGCTGTGTGCGAGTCCGACAAGCGGCTGGGGGACTGAGGAGCGGCTCGTCCCCCGATGCTGAGCACTGAACACCAGGGCGACGGCGGGTTCCAGCAGCCAATGGCAGGAATGAAACCCCTGTGCATGCTTGTCCTCGTTACAGTTGGGAACATGTACTGGCGTCGGGCAAAAGAAAAACTTGAATATGCATGAAATCCTTGCAGGGTGTCACTCAAAACTGCTTTTATGAACCCGAAGCGACCTCGATAAAGACCACACACGTGCACTGTTTTTTTTTCGGGGTGCCAGTTGTTTGGCAATGTTAACCTTTCTAGGCTGCCACCAAAGCTGCTCTGCACGCGCAGCAGATGCTGCAGACTCTGCTGTTTATGTAAGGATGAGGCACAAAGGCTTTCGGGAGAAAATGGTTTAGACTTTGCAAGAATGTCCACCCTGGACTGGGAACTCGATTCGCTGCCATGTGACAGATTACTCGAGGAGCACTGAGACTCCCTCAGACCCCCAGTGAATCGTGTGCGATATCCCTTTTCTTACAGCCACAAGCACGGCGAGGCTTCACAAATGGATTTGAATGGTTGTTAGAATCATTTAGCGAGCCTCGCCGGCACACACCCGCTGAATTAAGGGCCGGATTAGATGTCGGGTTAAAGGCAAACATGCCGGTAACAAGAATGTTCATATTTCAGGGAGAGACGGGGCAGCGCTGACAGCCGGTTCATTTATTACCCGGGCCTTAAGTACACACGGGATTAAGCCCAGGGAAGTGCGCCGGAGGGGTCAGATGCGAAGAGAGGAGGGATAAACACCTGGTTTTGGAACCGGCAGCCTCCCTCTTGAGCAAGGCAGGCAGCCTTGATTTGAGTCGAGCATGCCGCTGCAGCGCTCAGCAGCGAGATTAAAGGCAACGGCGCTGCTTTTTCATTTCGCTGTGACAGGTAAATTGCAGGCTCCTGATCTGTCTTTGTCCCGGGCTCGTCCCCGGGGGGCCCTCGCAGCGCTGCAGGTGGTGGGGTCGTATCTCACCAGAGCACCACGGCCTTTCGTGGGAGACGGCGCCCGTCCTGCAGCGCAGCTTATCTGCGTGCGGCGTTTATCCCAAAGAAATAATCAAAGAAAAACGGTGTTAAACTTTCTTAAAGCTCCACAGCAAAGCGTTCCAAAAAACATCTGCTTTGCAGGCGCGCGAGTGCAAAAATCTCCGCGAACAATCAGAGAAAAAACTAAATACGCACCGACACACTTCAAAGCAGTTGGTGGAATTTAAACTTTAACAAGCCAGAGAGGAGAAACGGGGGGAAACACAAGGTGCACAAATACTCCAGTCAGCCGAGACCAGACCTCTGCAAACCTCAGGAGATCCCAGCGGGAGGGGGGGGGGACATAAACGAGGCTTGACTGCAGCCAGATTCATCACAAAGCGGGCAGAGCTGCCTCAGCTCGGAAAAGAGCAGGTAGTTAGCCTTCCCACAATGCATCGCTGAGCAAAACAGACAGCGGGCAAAACAACAAAGTTCCCGTTGTCTGTCTCGGAGGGACGCTGAGACTCCGCAGACACAACAACCGACACAACAAACGACACGACAACCGACACAAAACAGACGGCAGACGGAGGAAAGAAGAACGCAGAGAAATGAAACCAACCCGACTTTAAAGGAAACATAATTACGGTTACAAATGTCTGTGACATGAGAGGATAGAAAGTCAAATCAATCCAAGAGAGGAATTAGAAAGAAGCAGAGGTCCAGAGAGTTAAATAAATGTTTTCATCTTAATGTGACTTTAATGTGTCTCTCTTTTCAAAATAGATTTACTGTGTAAGAACCGCACTGTGGGCGCCTGCATGCAGCCGGCACAGCGCGCCACATATTTTCACTTCAAAGATGAGGTAAGACACACAGGGAAGAAAGACAGAGAGAGAGAGAGAGAGAATACGAAGCCTGAAGGAGCAATGAACCTTTAAAGCCTCAGCTTTAAAATCCCAGTGTTCGGTACACAAGCCATTTCCACAGTCGCTCCTAATCCTATAATCTACAAGGGAAGCCACGATGACACTGAACAAATGTAGATACAAGAGCCCGAGAGCTTGAAAAAACATTTAATAAAGCGGCAGAATGAAGGCGGCGTATTAGACGTCAGTACTTCGCCGCTGCAGAGCGAAGCGTGTCCGTAACGCCGAGCACAGCTGGCATCATTCTGTGTGCGTTATCTTGTTTTAGATTATATTTACCGCGCGAGTCTTTCTATAATCCTCAATTTAACGCGTTGGATGAAGTGTCTGTGTTATCTTCACTTCACCAGGGCGGGTCTGTAATGCTTAATCAAACACGTGCAACTAACGGCTGCAACGCCTCGTCAAACACGCGGCCCAGTAACTGCTAATGGTTAGCTGTTAGCCGGACGCGTCACGCTAAACAATGGAGGTACTTCCTTCCTTTCTTCTTTCCTTGCCTTCACTGAAATATATCAAAAACAAGTTATTTACAAATATATATTTTTGAACACAAAAAACAGGAACCGGGAGCCTGAAATGTTTAAATTACTGGTCATAATAAACATCTCCACTGGGACGGCTCCGTCCTGGTGGGGGGAGGCAGGAGTGGGCTTTCCATTTTGAATTATTACAGTCATGGTGAAAAAAAAGTTTGGCCTTTTTCCAGAATTTCTTCTCCTTTTCTTTGCCAATTCTTTTGCACATCAATGTATATTAGATATTCTGAGTCCATCATTTTAATATGTGCTGGTTGACTTGATTTAGAGCAGCAAAGATGAACAACCTCCACCTATAATGCAAATGTGCTCACGGCGTTTCTGTAAAAAGAGAGACTTTCTTTCTTTGAATGACTAAATCTTCAAACAAATATTTCTGTATCTCACTTCTATAATTGTCAAAAGTCATTTTGGACAGATGGTCAAATGAAACAAGCTATCGAAAAAGATTTATTTAGTCCATAACAAATATTTAGGAACATATATTCTTATAGACTTAATCTAGAATATGGAATTGAAAGTTCCAGTCGTGATTTCACTCAAGTTACATTCTGGAAAACACAATAAGTCGTCATCCTCATGACTTTGATCCCACTAGATAAACTCGTGGCTCCTCGCCGAGCGTCAACGTTCCGTTCCCTTATCACATCATAACAGTTCAATGTTTCTCTGCTAATGCCGCGTAACCCTGGGAGCGTTTTTAATTAAGACGTATCTCTTCCATGGATTATTTTTCTCACATTCAGTTAGACGTCTGAAGAGATTTAGTTTGGATGTCACTTATGAGTTATGGGAAAGTGAATTGAATCTGCAGCAGAGAGATCAATCTGTGATAAGTTCACCCGACCAATGAGAGAAATGAAACTCAACCTGGAAGAAAAAATGTATCGTGGGCAACATCGTCCCTCAAGCAGCTTCATTAACATTCAATTGCCAACACAGACAAACCAGCACAAAGTCAATGGTGCCTCCAGCACTCTGCAAGCACTAAAAGGCTGGATGTATTTTTAAATAAAAACACTCCCGCCAGGTTCGCACTTGAGATCTGACGCACACGCACGCACACAAACGCACCCCCTCCTGGAACAGACGCCGCCCCACCAGGAATGCTAAGTGCAACAAATCAAGCAAACCAACAAGACTTATCACAGTCGGGTGTTTATGTGACCCCCCCCCCCCCCCTATCACGTCTCTCCGTCACTGTGTTTCCCGCTCCATTTATTACCCCATGATGCCGT